GCTCTCTCCATGGTCTAGTAGTTCCTCCTTCCTCATGGTTTTCTGCTCTCTTGGTTGTTGATCTGACTCCTTATCTTCTGATGTTTGTTCCTCTAAACTCCTACTCTCCACCTCTTTTCTACTCTCTTGTTCTTCTTCTGTCCCCAAGTATCGCTCATAAAACTCTTGCACTTTGTCCAATGTATCAATTCTGAATTTTTTTTCTTGCCAGGATATCAGAAGTCCTTCCGGAATGAACCACCTGAACGTAATCTTATTTTTGACCAATTGAGTTGATAGGAATTGGTAGTTTCTCCTCTGCTCCCTAACCCTTCTAAGTGTCTGTTTCAGAGTCACCACCTCCTTCCTTTGTAAATCAGTGGCCCATCTCTCGTTTTTCAGTACAATTGAACTCTGATTACTTTCCTCGCGAATCGTACATGGACTTCTCTTGGTAGCTTATTCCTCCACACATAGTTTGTATGCACCCTGTATGCTTCATCTATATCGTTCTGGATCTCTTTTTTATCTTTCTGAAGGGCACCTGCTATAAGAATGCTTTAGTCAGCAATAACCAGTCTCTTTTAATTTCAAGATGTCTCCTTCTGAATTGCACAGTCACTTTCACTCCTCCTTCTGGTCGTATTTCCTTTTCTTTCCTTGCTGTACCCAGACTCTCTCGATATCATTCTGTTCAACCAACCACCAACAATCAAATGTTTTTTCAAAGTTTCTTGTCACCTGCCAGTTCCACTGTCCAGAAACTCTAAGTTCTCTCTTGTCTCTCCCTTCTTTTTCTCAGTCTATCAGACTCTTGATGTCACTGTTTACTCATTCATTCTGCCATAACCACTCCTACCACCAAATCCCTGCTTGCCTCTCTGCCTCGGTTTGGAGCCTCTCTCTTCTTCCTCCAAAGTAACAGGTCTCTCGGTTAACAAAAAGAAGTCAGCACTTTCCTTCGTCCCACTCCTCACTGTTATTTGCGTTGCTTTCCACTCTGCTTCTGCTTTAATCGATCAGGCTGCCACGTCTCTGGATTGAATCATAAAGACCAATCTCTTTTGCATCAGTTTTCAGGATTGCTTCTTGCAGCAGCAGGGGATCACACCTCACCCGTTGCCTCCGAATCTTCTATCGCTGATCCCTCCAGAATCCAGCTTCACCCTTATGGACTACTGATCACAAAAATTCAGAATGGAGCTCCGTTCCCCTGCACTGCACCAGTGTGGTTGCCACCACCAGAAGTCCCAAGCCATCCATTTCTCTTAGTACTAATTTGTTTTCTTTTTCCATAGTCATTCTACTTCTATTTGCAAATCTTTATATTTTATGATATTATGATGTTTCATTGCACAGTCAGCCAGATGTTTAGAATGAATTAAGATTCTACCTGTTGAGTCCTTCCCAAGAAACTGGGATAGAAAGATGTTGTTTGGTAATGTTAATTTATTATCGTGGTTGTCACACAGTCAGTTTAGATTAGATTTGGCATTTTTATCCACCTATCTAATCCTTCCAAAGGACCTGGAATAGACAGATGTTGTTATTTGATGGTGTTAAAAATATTGTCATAGGCTGTAAGCTATTCCAAGTAAAGCTCCTTTATAATTGACTGATGGTGATTTTGTTAATGCCAATTCTGTTCAAGCAATATTCCAAATGTTTTTTTTTAATTGTTCTACTTCTATTTACAAGTTTTGTATTTTGTGATTTTCTCCAGTTCTTTCTTTTCTATCTGCTGTCTCCAATACTGCTATGTCTACTATCCAGACTTTTTTTTGCCTAGGATGTATTTCTTGCTTAAGGGCAAATGGCATTTTTTTGTACATCTTCTAATGCACCATTGTTGCTACTTAGTTATGCTGTTGGTTTTTTTTTAAAATTTTTATTGGTTTTTAAGACGAACATAGACAAACAAAACATAAAAACATCAAGCCATCTTCCATATATATACATACAGTGTGCCGGTTGGTTTACAAATTGTTTTGTGCTTCCATTTCGTAGTCTTCAATTACAATTACATTGTATATATTCTCATATTTTCAATCAAATATTAAATACATTAATATCATTGTTAATCATTTGACTATACTTTTATTCATTCATGTTTTATGAAATAATCATATTTTACTTAAATTGTTTTGTGACAGTTCATATTATCATCTCAAATCTATCCTACAATCATTTTGTAGATGTAATAAGAAAAGAATGCATCTTTATATATTTATTATTTTCTAATAATCTACATATTTCATTACCATGTTTTATTTTCTAACCATTGATAGAATAGATCCCAGATTTTATAAAATTGTTTATCATCTTGTTCTCTGATTTCAAATGTCAATCTACTGATTTCAGCACATTCCAATATTTTCTTAATGATTTCTTCCTGTGATGGTATTTTCTCCAGTTCTTTCTTTTCTATCTGTTGTCTCCAGATACTGCTATGTCTACTATCCAGACGTTTTTTGCCTAGGATGTATTTCTTGCTTAAGGGTGAATGGTAATTTTTGTACATCTTCTAATGCACCATTGTTGCTACTTAGTTATGCCGTTGTTTTTGTTAGCCTGTGCAATCTGCTTACAGCTATCTAGGTGGTCCACTGTTTCTTCAGCTTCTTTGCAGAAGCGGCATTTGCTGTCTATACTGTCTTTTCAATTCTGACTTTGTACACATTTGCTTTAAGACTTGGTCTTAAGTGGCCTCAGTCTCTTTATTCAACTTTCCTGCTCTAGCTATTGTCAGGTCTTGTTGGTATCTACTTTGCCTGCTATTTTTTTATTTACTGCCCATGTATTAGCTTCAGTGGATTGTTCACACTTTTTGTTATTTCTAATGCTCATTTTTAATGTATTGGCAATGAAATATTTTGCCTTGCCATCTCTCTTTTCTGTTTTTCATTTTATCTTTCTAGTAGGCAGGTTGGCCTCTCTAGAGTATTCAGTAAGCCTTCACTGTATAGTAGCTTCAGTGCATCTTCTTCACTGTTCTACACATATTTTCTCAATGTCCCTTTTTTCTTCTTCAGCTATCTGGTGTTCTTACAACATCCCATGCCCACCTATTTTCCTTGGTAAATAAAGTGGACCAATATTGCTGTGGGCATGAAGGCCATGATTCATTTTAAGTATTTTTTTTAAATCTTCCTATCCAGGACTTTTAGTTCTGCTTCAGTCCATTCCACCATTCCAGCTGTGTATCTAACTACTGGGATTGCCCAGGTGTTAATTGCATTGATCATATTTCTGCCACTGAGTTTGGATATTAAGTTCTTCACTTGCATGATGCATTCACTTCTAATCTTCTAATCTATTTGGTGTACTTGATAGTGTCAGCTTGAAGGATGCTCAGGTAATTAGAGAGGACTGTAAAGCACCATGAAGCAGTTTATACGTCTAAGTGCTATTGCTATTTGTAGTGATAATTTGCATTTAGACTCTTGAGGTCATTTCCACAGGACATCTTGATTCCTTCAGTTTTCACTTTTTCCTCTTTACTGGTAAGATGGCACATTTGTCTAGTCCAGAGTTCGTTGTAATATCTTGGCTGTATATTTGGAAACGGTTGAGCAGTGATTTTATTTCAGGGTGGGTTTTTCTATAGTTTCAGATCATCCATAGAAAAGGAAGAACAGCTTGGCAGATGTTTTTGATGTTTAGTAGCCATGACCTGACTTGTTTGGTATTATTGACAGAGGAATCAGTTGCAGATTATTATTTTGATTGATTGTACAGTCAACCAGATATTTAGAATATAGTTGGAATTTTTATACACCTATCAAATCCTTCTGAAGGACTTGGGATAGGCAGATGTTTGATGGTGTTATTATTACAAATTTGCTATAGCTAGCCAACTCCAAGGCACTCTTAATTTTAACAGCATGTCTTAATAAACTGTAAAATCACATTTGTGATAATGATCATCTCAGTAAAATACAGTGCTAAAATTGCTTTTTGCATTTAAAACATTAGATCTGTAACTGAAGTCCTTTCCTCTAAAGAGAAACATTACATTTATAGAAATTCAAATTTATTTTTCAATGGTAGCAGTTAAGTTTAATTCTAATTTTTGTGAGTGATAAGCAGAGAATTTTTGCACACTCATATCTACATACTATTCCTTTCCTAGCTGATTCAAGATCACATTAATCCTTCTCAAATATTCACTTTTTTCTGGTTAATCTTTGTTTTTCTTTTCCTTTCTAAAATAATCCACATGATTAATATCTCAATAGGGATGCCATCTAAATCTGGTGTTTTACCACTTTCCTTTTTAAAAATTATTTGTTTAACTTCTATCTCGGGTAGTGGAGCAAATCCAAGTTGCTTTTATAATCTACATTAGTTAGCTTAATTATATATTATTTTTAAAAACCTAAATATCTTCATTCAATACACTTTCTAGATTACTATGTAAGTCTGAATCAAATTTTAAAAATTGGCAATTTATTTCCATTAAAGTGTTATGGATTTCATCTCTTTCACCCCTAATAGTTGAAATCATTGCTTTATCTTTCTTTTGTTTTAACCAAGATCTTACTAGATCTTTCACCATTCTCCTATTATCTCTATCAGAAACATAGTAACATTAATTGTCTGCTATAATATATTGCAAAATTGCTATCTTGCTAGAATTCCAATGCATAATCCTCCTTCCTGTATAAATCAAGAGCTTCCAAATTTTTTTTCCAGATTTCCTGTAGAACTCAGGAACTTGACTCCAAGATTTTATTATATCTACTCACTAGACTTTTCCCAATATTGCCGAAAAGCAGGGACATATTGTGCTCTTTTATTTGTGGCCCAAGACAAATAATCAAATCAGTTTCATTGTCCATGTTAGTCCAAGTACTAATTAGAACCAATTAGCATCTGGGTCTGGGTAAAGCTGGTTAGGTGCTACTCTCTTCTAAGAACTTTTTTTCATTCATTATCTAATTTTTTTCAAGAAACAGCAACTCCTCTGATGAAATTAAAATAAATTAAAAGTAATATTTATTTCTGGGTTTCTCTTACAGGCATGCAGCTGTTCTGGTTGAAACTATCAAGAAGGGCATTCATGATGCTGATGCTGAGGCAAGAGTGGAGGCACGAAAGTGAGATTAATTCAAAGTTTGGCTTAACTAATTTTGAAAGTACTGGTACTTTTTAGAAGAAAAGAATAGCCCACATATTTTCTGGGTTTTTTTTTTAAAAAAATTAATTTTTAATGTTGTATGCCACTTGGAATCATTGTTGGATAGTCACATAAATGTATTTAATAAACAAATAGTCTTATGTGACCACTCACTAACATTCAATAACTCCAGAGAGTATATAATATGTAAATAGTTATGGTTCTTTTCTATTCTAGCTTTGGTTGGATACACAACTTTGTGATGTTGAGACTTCTCATTTTTTAAAATGTTTTTTTTAATAGTGTTGGAACATTGTTTCTATTTCCAGAAATATTTCCTTCCTCTAATAAATTCTATGTGGTTTCTTTTAGGACTTATCTAGGCCTAAGAAATCATTTTCCTGGTGAGGCAGAAGTTCTGTATAATAGTCTTGAACCATCCTATCAAAGAAGTCTCCAGACTTACTTAAAGAATTCTGGTAGCATTGCATCACTTCCACAATCAGACAGGTCATCTTCCAGCTCACAAGAAAGTCTAAAGTAAGTGTCAGTCTAGAAGAAAATACTTCTGTCCACAAGATCTATATAGTCTACTTCAGATTAGGGCCTTTTTCTTGAATTTATTTCCACCTATAGAATAAAAAATTATAATATTGTCTATCTTGCAAGGGAATCTAGACAAGAGGCACATCCAGAAGTAGCAGCTCTAACTTTATTATTTTGTTAACAGATTGCTTTAACAGAATATTGTAAATCTGAAAGTACATTTCTCACCCTTTATCTTTACAACCCAAAAGAAATTAGTGACAATCTCTTCTGAGTCATTTGTCCACAGTCCTTTGGAAGGCTCAGCTGCCTCTTATTTGATTTTTGCCTAGTCTGCAGCTCTTACTCCTGCCTTCCAAGGCTGTTTCCATATATTATTACAGATAAAAATGTATTTTTAATGTAACATATCCACACTGCCTTATTTAGATGGGGCCTATCTTTCAGTACATATTCAATATTAGATATTTAGAAAAGTGTTCCAAGATTTTTTCCTCAAAGAAAATGTTTCTTGATTAGAGTTTTTATACAAGTTTAAGAGTATTGAAGAGAACAGGACATGTTTACCCTTTTGAAATGTTTAATAATTTACATTTCAAAAAAAAATTTTTTTTCTTTCAGCCGTCCTTTCTCTTCAAAATGGTCTACTGCCAGTTCTTCAAGTATGACTAACAGAGGTAATTTGCTCAATGTACAAGACCAGGTAGAATTTGGAAACTTTAGAAGTAATTTAGGGAAATCTTTTGAGGACTTTTTAAAGTGTCAGCATGAGGTGGGAATCTTGATATGCAGTTTCCTGTTTTCTTTCAGTTTCAAGTGGTAGCAAAGCTGCTCTGACCCTAGGAACACTGCAGAGGTCTTGCAGTGATATTGATGTTAATGCTGCCGCTGGGGCAAAGGCACGTCATGCTATTGGTCAGCCATCAGGAACTGGTCGCTTAGCAACTGCTGGTCTACCTCCAGGATCATATGCTTCACTAGGTAGGAAACATGTTCAATATACAATAAACCACCTATCAGAATTTTTCATGTATATTGAAATGATATTTCCCTTCATTTAGTTATATCAGTGAGTTATCTAACTTAGTGAATAAATTTTTTTCCAGCAATTAAGACATTTATTAATTCATAGTAAATAAGTTACTGACACTGTTTTTTCCTTATTATTCAGTATTTTCTAGTTAAGTGTCTATGGAAATTCTCAGTCATCCAGGCCTCTTGAAAAAGCATCTGGACTTTCTTGCTTTTCTTTGAAGACATTTCACTTCTCATCCAAGAAGCTTCTTCAGCTCTAAAAACAAGAAAGTCCAGTTGCTTTTTGAAAAACCTTTGGGTTTTCTTGTTAGGCTGAAGTTTTGCAGCTAAAAATAACCACCTAATTCAGAAAATTTAGAAAAATCAATACACATTTAACCTATAAACATGTTTAATAGTATATATAGAGTGAGCAAACTTGCAACTGGGATAAACTAACTTACATGTCATAAACTTAGTCTCGTAAGTTGTTGGCATGTAAATTTATTGAAGGGTTTTATAATAACATGTGAAAGGAAGTAAAACAGCATGAGAAACTAGTTTAATTAAAGTTTTTTAATGTCTGTACTTAATAAAATTAGAGAAATTCATTACTCTCTTTTCTTATGTTGAAAATTATATCATTTAACATTTTTCTCATTCTTATGTTAGTAGCTGTGGAATTCTTACACAATGAAAATTATAAACTTATATTCTTTGCATGAAAAGGGGAATAAAACTCATACCAATCTTTTTTCGTGATAAAAGGCAGGCAATAAGATAAATACTATATAAAAATAAGATAGATATGAACCAGTGTGTTCAGTTTTCTGGAATAAAGTTTGCAATGACTCACAGTTGAGATTGATGTCTTTTTTATAAAAAACAGTTCTAAATGATATCAGTTCAATATAAAAATCTTATTTAGAATTATTGTCAGTGTGTACATCTGGCTACAATGGTCAGATGTCCAGATCTGGATTGGTATAGTTGTTTTTTAAGAAAAAGTGTGTATCATCTTTGCCCTGTAAGAAGGTCAGGAGTTCACCCCAAATACCTGGGTAAGAAAATATTCTTACACTTGTGGCAACATGAATACATCAGGATTATTGCAGATATATTTTTAAAGTATTATTGTATCAGGGCTCCCCTCTTCCTCATTAAGGCAAATGAGGTTTTCCAGTCAGCAGTTGGAGAGAAGGAGAGCTCCTTCCATTCAGCTCTCCATCTTGACTTTTTAAAAAGCTTTGTTGTTTCTATTGGAAAAAGAGAATTTTATAGATGTTTTATAGGAATCAATTAATATTATAAATGAAGTATATTATTTTACAGGCAATTTGTATGAGTGTGTGTATTTGCCCTAACCCCCAATCCCCTTTTTAAAGTAGTACGAAAAATGAGATAGGAGGTATTTATTTGTACATCTATCTATGGGACTTCTACTTGAAATACATTTATTAAGTTAAGAGAAAGACTGCTTAGATAGGTTTCAGGTGGAACTAGTTTCTCTAACTTGATAATATTAGAAAACAAGGTATTACATACAAGTTTCATCTGTGTTCATTTAATTATTGCCTATTTCTCACTTGTGGGCAATTGTTTTCAGCAGCATATTTTTTTCAAGTTAGCATGGTATATTATTCCACAAATGAAAGAGAACAAATATAACCTGAATAGATTTACAGGTAGTTCTTGACTTACAACAGTTCATTTAGTGATTGTTTAAAGTTACAACAGCCTTGAAAAAAGTGACTTACGACCAGTTACAACCTTTGCAGCATCTCCATGATCGTGTGATCATGTGATCAAAATTTAGATGCTTGGCAACTGGTTCATAATTATGACCGTTGCACTGTCTCAGGGTCATGTGATTATTTTTGCAACTTTCTGAGAAATAATGTCAGTGGGGAAGCCAGATTCCCTTAACAATCAAGTTACCAACTTATCAGCTTCAGTGATTAACTTAACAACTGTGGCAAGAAATGTTGTAAAACTCACTTAACAAATTCTCACTTAACATTAATTTTGGGCTCCATTATTGACTACTAGTATTTTATGTATGGTCTCTTTTTTCTCCTATACTTTAACATTAAAATTCTAGTTCAATGTATTTTATTTCCTCATATTTCATAAACACTGATTCTTTATATATTTAAAAATATTACTATAACAAAATAGCCAAACCTTGGCTGTTTGTTGAACTAGTCATGCTTACTACTTAATTGATTTTTTTAAAAAATTCATTAAGGTTTCTCTTCTACAATCTATAGTAGTGAATTTTCTTTCTTCTTTAGGGCTTTGATCTCAAATAATTGTTTCTTTGAATAGAGTCCAAACATAAATATATTTTAGTTCCACTAAAATCTGTGGAAATTTTAGTCATAAGTAGCGTAGGCCCTACTAATTTCCATTAAGATAAAATATGCCTAACCAGGTTTAAATCCAGTCTATAAATCATATATGCAGATATGCAACTCTGTGTGCATCCTGCAAAAATAGGGTAGTCTGGCTCTTTTTTAGCCTGAACTGTCAAATGTCTATATGTGATATTATAACAACAGAGGTAATAATAAAATTCGTGTTTTAATATCATTGGTACTGGATACTATGTTTCATTAATAATTTTGGAATTGCTTGTTTGCTAATGATTAGTATATGCATGAATTCAGTATCTTAAGTGTTTGTAAACTAGTCATATCAATATATAACTATCACATTAATTGCCTTAATGAAGATTTTATAGTTCCTTGTCAGTACAGTTTGTCTAACACATTAAGTTTTCCTGTTTCTTTGCTTGCTACTCCAAAAAAGAGGATACTTCTGATAAGATGGATGGTAAGAGCCTGTTTTATCTTTCACTTTCTAAAACAACTGATTTTGACTTCTGTACACATAACAAATTCAGTTTGAAAAAACTCACTCAGCTGACTTTTAAATAATGTGAGATTTTATTATTAAAGCATTGATATAAGTAGATTGGCAAGTGTTTGTGTAGCTCTATTCCAATGCTGCTTTAGACAAGATTTACTTGACTTGTACAGTATTGTTCATTTTTGCAAAGCTAGTCTTACTATTTGAGCAACTAATAGTCAAATGAAGGGCATACCTTGATTTTTCTTACTATCAGCAAAGTAGTTGAATTTAAATTGCAATATTTAACCTTAAGTTTATTTGCTAATGTATAATACATATAATTCATTTTTAACAACCATCTATTATTTTTTGTTTAGTTCTGCCTTATAATTTTTAATTCTTTCTTAATAATTATTATATAATGATTTTAACAAATAATTATTTTATATTTATTGTTTTATTTAACTGTTATATGCTTCCCAAAATCACTTTCTATGAAATAGGCACCTATATACATTTCATCAATAAATCAACAAATTTGATCAATAAAATAACATCTAGTTTATAAATTTTATACTTTTTTTTGTAAATTTTATTGGTTTTTAAAGACAAACAAAAACAAACAAAACATAAAAACATCCAACTTTCTTCCATAAGTGTACAAGCAGTGTGTCGGTTGGTTTACAAATTTTTTATGCATCCATTTCATAGTCACAATTACAGTTACATTGCATAATAACTCATATTATCAATCAAAGATTAAATACCCTAGTATCATTATTAATCAATCATTTGACTACAATTTTGTTCATTCATACTTTGCGAGATAACTATAATTTACTCAGTTTATTTTATAAAAATTCATATAATCCTCCCAAATCTATCCTAAAAACATTTTATAGATATAATAATAAAAAAAGAAAAGAAATACATCTTTATATATTCATTGTTTTCTAAAATTCTACATATTTTAATATTATATTTTATTATCTAACCATTGATAGAAAAGATCCCAAATTTTGTAAAATTGTTTATCCTCTTGTTCTCTAATTTCAAATGTCAATCTACTCATTTCAGCACATTCCAATATTTTCTTAATGGTTTCCTCCTGCGATGGTATTTTCTCATTTTTCCAATTTTTAGCAAATACGATCCTAGCCGCTGTTAATACATTTACAATCAAATATTTTAAATCTTTACTGTATGTATCAGGTAAGATTCCCAATAAAAATATCTCTGGTTTCAAATCTATATGTTTTTTTGTCATTTTTTCCAACCATGTGTGGATTTTAGTCCAATATTTTCTCGCATCCGCACAAGTCCACCACATATGGTAGTATGAGCCAGGTATCTGATGACATTTCCAACATTTTTCGGATTTATTCTTGAACATTCTTGCTATTCTTGTCGGGGGAAAATGCCACCTGTAAAACATCTTATACAAATTTTCTTTAAATGCTGTTGACATTGTCATTTTATAATTTTGAGACCACAGTTTTTGCCATTTCTCTAAATCAATCCCATATCCAAAATTCTTCCCCCAAGCAATCGTAGTTTCTTTAACTTGTTCTTCTAGTTTAATTTCTAATAGATATCCATACAGTTTTTTAATCACCTTTTCATCAGTACCTGTCAAAATCTTATCTAAGTCAGTCAATTTATGATAAAAACCTTCTGTTTTAAAATCCTTATCATACCTTGAGTGTATTTGCACATATGAAAACCAATTCATCTTTATACCTTGTTCCTCTAGCTTTTGCATAGATTTAAGTTCACCCTTTTCATTCAAAATTTCCCCATATCTAACTGTTCCTTCTTGTATATTATAGGATAGGAAAATGCTTCAATAGTCGATAACCAGACTGGAATTTTCAAATAGCATTGTCTTTTAATCTTCTCCCAATTTAACCACAGAGACTCCCGTATATGATGTCTTCTAAAATAGCCCTGTGTTTTGATTCCCTTGTACCATAAAAAAGCATGCCACCCCAACAACAGATCATGTCCTTCTAGTGTCAACAATCTAGTATTTCTTAATGTTATCCATTCCTTAGCCCACATCAAGTTTGTAGCTTGATAGTACAACTCCCAATTAGGCAAACCAAATCCTCCTCTAATTCTAGCATCTTGCAAAAGTTTTAACTTTATTCTCGCTTTCTTACCTTGCCATATATATTTCAACACAATTTTATTTAAATCTTCAAAGTAGTCCTTTCCAAGCCTAATTGGTATTGTTTGAAACAAATATAAAATTCTGGGTAAAATATTCATCTTGATTGTTGAAATTCTCCCTATTAATGACAATTGTAGATTTTCCCATTTTGTCAAGTCCAACGCTATCTGCTGTTTAAGTTTAATGTAATTGTTCTCTTTCAAAGTACTACATCTTGCTGTCAAATGTATCCCCAAATACTTAACCTTGTTCGTGACTTGAATTTTCAGTAGGTCTGCCAATTCTTCTTTTTGTCTTAGTAGCATATTCTTTGTCAAGATCTTTGTTTTATCTTTATTTATTTTCAAACCAGCCACCTTGCCATATGCCTCTATCTTTTCCAATAATTTTGGTGCTGTTTCTAAAGGGTCTTCTAAAATAAAAGCCAAATCATCCGCAAAGGCTTGCAATTTAAATTCTTCCTTTTTGATTTTCATTCCTTTTATACTCTTTTCGTCTCTAATATTTCTATTTAACACTTCCAAAGTTAATACAAATAGCAAAGGTGATAGTGGGCATCCTTGTCTTGTACCTTTTCTTATATTGATGGAATCTGTCAATTCTCCCTCTATCATTACCTTTGCCGTTTGCTTATGGTATATGGCTTCTATTGCTTGAATGAAATTTCTGGCGAAACCCATCTGTTCCAATAATAATAGCATGAATCTCCAATTCACATTATCAAATGCCTTTTGTGCATCTAAAAATATCAAAGCCATTTGTTTTTCGGGGTGTGCCTCATAATATTCCAAAGTGTCCAAAATTACTCTCTTATTATCTTTGATTTGTCTCTTTGGCAGAAATCCATTTTGATCAGGATGGATAAAGTTATTTAAATATTTTTTAAGTCTTTCTGCCAGTATTGAAGCGAAAATTTTATAATCTGCATTTAGTAAAGAAATAGGTCTATAATTCTTAATTTGCAATGGATCAGCCTCTTCTTTTGGAATAAGTGTAATATAGGCTTCTGACCATGTTTTAGGTATCTTCTTTGCCATAACTTCATTCATGACTTCTAACAATGGAAAGTTCAGCGATTCTTGTAATGTTTTATAAAATTCTGCTGGGAGTCCATCTGGGCCTGGTACCTTTCCATTATTTTGCTTCTTAAGTGCTTCAGTTAATTCCAACATTGCTTTCTAACATTTTTTCAGTCTCTTTAGGTATCTTAGGTAGATTAGCATTCTGTAAATACTGTTTGACTCTTTCCTCATCAATATTCTCTTGCTTATATAGTTGCCCATAAAAGTCTTGAATAATTTCCTTTTTCTATTTATTGCCATAGAAAACTTGACCTTGATCATCTATTAACTGCAATATTTTCCTTGATTCTTTCTCCTTTCTCAATATGTATGCTAACCATCTACCTGGTTTGTTTGCATCTTCAAAGTAGTTCTGTTTAGCACTTCTAATTTTCTGTGCTAATTCTTCTTTCTCTATTTGGTCCATTTTGTGTTTAATTATGTCCAATTTTAGCTTAATGTCTTTTTTCTGTGGCGTTTTCTGTAGCTCTTTTTCAAGTCTTTTATGCTCATCTACTAAAGCTTTAGTGACTTGCCTTTTCCTGATGTTCCTTTTCCTTGTATAGTCTATTATCAAGTCTCTAGCATATGCCTTCATTGTGTCCCATACATTCTGAATTGAAGTATCTTCTTTTTTATTTTCTCTAAAGAAAAAGGCCAATTTTTTCTCCATCCGCTGTGTAAAGTCCTTTTCCTTTAAAACAGTATTATTTAACATCCATTTCGATCTTCTTTTTTGTCCTTTCCATTTGATTGTCACTGAATTGTGGTCTGCCCAAGTACTTGTTTCGATACCGTGTTTCTCATATAATAAGGCCGGGTCTTATTTTTTTTTGAGCCCCGAAAAAATGGCTAGGCCGTCTTTTCGGGGGTGACTTAATTTCTCCCCCTTGCATCCTCGGGCGGGCAGCGACGGCTTGGATGTTGACCTCGGCATTGGTGGGGCACTTCGTATCGGGGTCAACGCAGGCAGCACCATATCCGGGTATGCAACAAAAGTACTTCCTAACGGCAAGCCCCCCCACCATTCCCCCCCCCCATTTTGCATGTTTTAATATAGGCCTTAATTTGGGGGGAGGGGCTTAATTTCATTTCATGCCTATAAAACATGCTGGGACTTCCTATTGGGGGAGGCCTTATTGTTGGAGAAACAGGGTATTTATTTCTTGAATATTAGATATTAGTTCTGTTGAAATCCAAATCATGTCTATTCTGGACTATGATAAATGTCTATTTGAGTAAAAAGTGTATTGTTTGGTTTTAGCATTTCTTTCTCTCCATGTATCTTTTAAGTTTATTTCATCTGTCATTTTAAAAAAGGATTTAGGGAGAGTCTTTCTAATTTGCTTTGTTATTGTTGCTGTATAATCCAATTTGTTGTCTACAATTCCATTGAAATCTCCCATCATAACTATATTGACATAGTCCAGTTCAATTATTTTCATATGTAGTTTTTTATAGAATTCTTCTTGTTTATCATTCGGAGCATAAATTGCAATCAGGAGTGTTTTCATATTATTGTCCATTATTTCCACCATTAATACTCTTCCATCTTCATCAGTATGGATCAATTTTGCTGAGATGGTCTCTTTAATATATAAAACCACTCCTCTTTTCTTACATTGAGTCAAAGAAGTAAATATTTTCCCTAATTTTGGCTGTACCAACAGTTGTTCATTTTTTTTTTAATATGTACTTCTTGTAGACAAATTATATCAAATTTTAATTTCTCTAATTTATGAAAAAAA